TTTAACGATTTTACCTTATTTAAATGTTTGGTTTTTTGAAATGTGTTTCATAGTTTCGGTCCACGGCATGCTGTTCCATATTCAGAATACTTGCTCCTAAATCTAGGCAATTTATAAGTATTCCATTGGTTTATTCTAAGAGAGTAATTATTGTTAACATTTTTCGTAAATTTATTATTAAAGGTTTTCGGAATCAGGCTGTTATTATATTTATACATAAAAATTAAGTGTTGGTAAATATTAATTTCATATATACTCATCATTTGCATGTCTTTCATTAGTGGTTTTGCATGTTCATATTTTTTTTTCTTATATATTAGTCTGCATGCATGTTTTTGTAAAAATTTTTAAAGTTTTGTTGGTTGAGTACTAGCATATATATATATATATATATATATATATATATATATATATATATATATATATATATATATATATATATATATATATATATATATATATATATATATATATATATATATATATATATATATATATATATATATATATATATATATATATATATATATATATTATATATATATATATATATATATATATATATATATATATATATATATATATATATACATATATATATATATATACATATATATATATATATATATATATATATATATATATATATATATATATATATATATATATATATATATATATATATATATATATATATATATGTATATATATATATATATATATATATATATATATATATATATATATATTTATACATATACAAACACACAAACCGAGCCGTGACTAGTGAGTTTGAGCCCTCCGTCCCTCCTCCCCCAAAAGAAAACAAAAAAAAAGTTTTTCAGGTCAATATTCATTGTTGCATACATCAATTTTAAATTTTTATTAAATTGTAAAATAAAGTTGTACATTTAGCATACATTACAAGTGTATTCTTAATATAGATGGCGCCTTATACATAGCATTGATAAATATTAAAAACGACTAGCTATTTTAATGTTATAGTTATGGTTGATATATCAACTCACGATCCCCTTCGAAATTTGTCAAATTTGTCAACCAAAAATTGCTTCTTGTTTGTATAAAAATATTTTGATATTTCATCAGACCGGAAAAGAAAGTTCTACAACTACGAGAAATGATAAATGGTGAAACTTTTAAAGAAAAGGTGATAAATACGGAACTTTTAAAGAAAATCTTTTATATAAATATTTATATTTAAATTAATTTTATTCTCGTCCAATTAACTTTGTATAATAACAATCCAATTATATTAATTATATAATTTCAATCAAATTATATGAAATCCAATTATATTAATTATATAATTAAAAATAAAAAAATAACGTCCAATTAACTTAATTTTATTCTCGTCCAATTAACATTGAGTTTATCGAAAAACAGGCATTTTGTTAAGTGATTTTGATAAGTGGCTCCAATAATATGACGAAGTTTAAGAGTCGGGTGAATATTTAATGCCAGATATTACTATAAAAAATTAGTTTTTTTAACAAAACAAATTAGTTCAAGTTAATATTGGGAACTTCTTTTGATGAACTTAAAAGTTCGCCGAATTATGTTAAAAATTTAGTTAAAAGGTTTTAGAATTAAAAGCTTTAGGAAAAAATTATTTTTATTTTTAATTAATCTTTTTCTAAAGCTTTTAACTAAAGGTATTCAGTTGTTACCTACTTTTATATTGCATTGTTTCATTTTCACAACAATGTAATAGAAAAGTATTAATATTCAACTCTCGAACATTATTTATAATCTTGTTATAGTTAAACCTTTCAAACCTACGTATGCATCGATGTGTTTGTATATGTATGCATCTATGTGCTTGTATATGTATGCGTCTATGTGTTTGTATATGTATAATGTATTATATTTTGGGTATATGGTAACTTCCAGTACCTTAAATAATCTTATTTTAATAGTTCTTCAGCAGCAATTACATAAAAGTATAATCTAATGTTTGTTTATTTTTAAAAAGGCTTATTGATAAGACTGCATTTGTCTTCTTCTTACCCAATCAATGTTTTTATGATTTTTTGCTAACTTAATTTTGTAAGCATATTTTGACGGTAAAATATGTAACAATTGTTTTTATCTTTTGAAATTCTAGTTTAAAATAATGTGCAAAAGTTCAAATGGACCAGTTCAAAGCAATAAAATATAACTTTGTAGTTTTTTTCTCTTAATGAGGAACTGTTTTCTATTTATACTCATTAAAAGATATTATAGAAGTGCAAACAGCATATTTTTCAACAAAAAATGAAAATCTTTAAATATTGGGATAATATCTTATATCATTTTATGCATCTTGTGATTCTTTTCATGTCAGCGTTTTTTTTTTTCTGCGTCAACTTTTCATGACTGTTTCCCAATTATTACACATTTTTTTAGTATGAGCAACCATGGCCTACTTGAATTATTACACATTTTTATTACACATTTTTTTACTTTAATTTACATTACACATTTTTTTAGTATGAGCAACTAAATTAATTTTAAAACCTGTAGAGTAATTTTAAAGTCTCTGGTTTTGTATCAGTTTTTTGAATGTTCTTTTTTTTTTTTTATGTAAAGAAGATCTCTGTATGATTCGTTTTGCGGAAAACCTATTCCCGCAGTTTAAGAAGACACAAGAAAACAATTGCTACTCATTCAGCAGCAATTCAACATCTATTTTTTTTTTATTTCAAGTTAATTGCGCAACAGATATAAGATTTTTGAGTAATACTTTTCCGTATTCACTTTACATCTATTTTATATTGTATTGTACTTGTTTATCATTTATTGTTATTCTGATTTTTTACACTTGATATTCTTAACTTTAATAAGACTTAACTTTAATAAGACGGCCATTTTGTTAAAACTAGTCATTTTGTTTGAATAAAATAGAGAAAAATCAATGGAAAAAATGGATCTGTAAAAACAATTTAAAAGTTTTAAATTAAGTTCTTAATTATAAACTATCAATCACAAGGTAACTATGTCTTAGTCCAATTTAGTCCATTCCTAACTTTAGTCCACTTAAATTAAATTATGTCGTTAATGGAAAAATGTCAAAAATTGTTCCTGAGTTCCAAATAACATAACAGAATTTTTTAATAGCAAAAGGTACATGGGTGTACATGCAAAGTACTCTGCTTTTCTATAAATTTCTTGAAGAACATGTTAACACAAGTATGACGTATCACATTATATGTTTGTCTTTTACGACTTGAAATATAAGCTCAATCTTTTTCTTTTTTTTCCAAAACCATAATTAAACTTTTGAACATAGTTAAACTTTTTTCAGCATTTTTTAAATTAAGTAAAGTAAGGGTTCTACAACCTTTACCTGGTTTCTTTAAATCTTAACGTAATGTAAAAACTAGCTGGCTTCATCCTCATAAAAAATATCAGGTTGCTGCTAAACATTTTTGAAAAGTGTCTGGCTTTTAATACCCGTTCAATTACTTTTCCTTTGCTCAATAAAACTTTTCTGAATGGTGGAAGACATGTAAAACTAAATATTTTTTTCCAGTTTGATTCATAGTGATTAAATTTGTTCACATGACACAGGATCATATTTTACCACCAAAAGAAAAAGTTCTGAATTTTTTGTTTCAGTTAGACCTCTATAGTCAAAATTTACTTGATTATGAAAGCTCCTATTTTGCAGGGATAAATAATTCACAATAAAAGTTTTTCTGTTTCTATCGGTCGATTAATTTATAGTTTTTTTTTAACTAATTAAAAATAGCACTTTCAGAGAAACACTTCATATATTGAAAAATTTTACAAGACATTTTCTTTTTTAGAAATTGTATGCAAGTGTAGCTTAAAATAAAACGAGTTGTTTAAACTTCACTTAAAGAATTATCATATTAAGTTAAATTAAAAGTAAATAGTGTTTTATAAGTTGCATCTTATACTACATACGAAACAAAAGCTGTAAAAAAGATTAACTTTAAAAAAATTACGTTACAGTGTTAATTGTCTCATTCATTCAATTATTTTTAATTTCTTTGTGTTATGTAAAACAAAAAGTTTTTTCTCCAGAGTTTTACGCCATTTTAGTGCTAGTGTGTTAAGTATTAATGTCACCGATTATAGACCTAACCATAATCTAACCTCTCGATACATCAATAATTTTAAAAATTACTAGAGCACATTATGTATTACTTTTTAGTTTCTAACAATATTATCTAACAAACAACGTAGATTTAAAAAAGGCACTTTAGTGACCAATAGTTCATCTTTTTCATAACTTTAAATCAATTGATGAATATAAATATACATTAGGTGACTATCTATCAATATAAATAAAGCCTGTGGGTTTTCTATTATTTATATTTAGATCACTAGCATTTCTAGTTTATATTAATGATTTAACCAATACGTGTACTGAATTAGACTACTTTTATTTAGATAATAAAAATCTATAATATAATCATAATGATAAATATTTTGAACCGGTAAACAAAGAACTTTTGAATCTTACTAAATGGAATAATGCAATAAATTATTACTAAATCTAATCAGAACATTATAATCATTTTTCAATTGTTTTCTTGATTGAGATGATTGAACTTCAAAAACTTTGTAATTCCAGTCCAGACAATTTTTCGTCATAATTTTTGTATTTACGTAATTAAAATTACACAAATCATCGTGCAGCACAAATAAAATTTAAAAAACTCTTTAATAAATAAAAATAAATAAAAGCATGCAATCATATTAAATGTGGACCGTAAAACGGTCCACATTACCACGCATTATTTACTTGTCAAACATATATAAATATTTTCCATCTTTTAATATCTGTTCAAAATAATTAAAAAATCTCTTTAATAATAAGCGCCCGATTCAAAATAAATCAGAACAGACAACTATATTTTGAAATAACAGCCCAAAGTTCATTTTGAGGTTACTTAACTTTCATTTGTCATTTGATAACCGCACCCAATAACCCAATAAAAAACCGCACCCCCCAAAAAAAAACACTCTAGTAGTTTGAGGGTTTGAAACCCTCAGAATAATGAAATTATTGGCTTTTAATTTAAAATAATCGTGTATACATGGCATAATTATTTTCGTGATTCTAAGGATTGTAATAAGAAAAATTACACATTATTATTCGATATTTATAATCAATAAACAGCGTAAACCTTTGTTTATTAAAATTCCAATGTTCTACTTAATACAGTATCAACCAAATCATTCAACTCTGTAAAATATATCAATCAATTTGTTTATTGATTTAAGATACGGATCTTAACCAATTATTTTATGTGATCTTCTAAAATCAACAACTGAACGGTTATTTAGATCAACTGAGATATTATTTCATCCAAGATCTTGCCAAAATAAAATTTATTGAACTGAAATATTAGTTTCTTCATTTCATCCTAAATCTTATCAAAATCAAAACTTACTGTAAAGTCATTTTATTTAAGTTCATAACGCTGTTTCCAAGAAATTAATTCCTGTCGAAGATAATCGTTATTCTAATTAAAAAAAAAATTAAAAAAAAAAAAAATTAAAAAAATAAATGAAAAGCATTTTGTTAATTAACAACAACTTATGTAATTTAAAAAACATTCCACCTCTTTGAGGTCTTTAATCTCATTCTTCAAATCCATTAAAACTTTAATTCTCTGAGAATGATTGTGGTGACCTGCTAACTTCGCATTTTCAACTTTAACCGCGTCATTTTCCTTCTGCAGTAATTCGATTTCCTATGAAGTATGAAATCATGTCAACTAAATAAAAATGTTTAAGTATTAATTTGGAGAATATTTTTATGAATCATATATGTAATATTAAATAAAATACTACGAAGTTTCGGCACTTTCAAACAACTAATGCCCCAGGCAACTGACCATTAAACCAACTTGGATCTTATGTAAAATTATATTTTAAAAATGTTTTTAGATAAATTGGCAACAATAAGTTATAACGTTAATACAAATAAGTATTAAATATTAACACAAAATGTTTCTTAAAACTATGATAAGATGAACTGATAGAGCATAACCTAAATTGATTCATGAAATAAAGTTCTTGTATATGTCAAAGTTATTCTTCTACTTTGTACTTCCTTATAGAGCTGTGATCATATCTCCTTTTAGTGCTATGATATTATCATACCTTTGCAATACGCTTCTTTTCCTCTTCAATGATTTCAAGTTTCGACTGATAAGCTATTTTCTCATTAAAGTATTTTTCCTCTAAACTTTTAGTCCTAAATTTTAAAGAAAAAACAAAAACAAAAACAAATTTGGCTCATTCAGAAAATCATATAAAAAACATATATAATAAATAAATATCCAATATTAGAAAAAAAAGAAAAAAAAAAACAAAACAAATAATAATAGAAATGAATAATACTATTTATTTAATAAAATAGGAATTACTGCAAATCTTATTCAATATGTTATCATTGACTTTAAGACTAATAGTATTTTAGTTAATAATAAACCATTGTACTTTTCAAGCTCCTCAAGAACAGCATCAAGGTCTTCTTGTATGTTAAACATATTCATTTTGCATTCAGCCAATCTATAATACAAAGTTTACATTAGGTTTTTTAATCTTTTTTTAAAACTGTAAACAACATTAAGCTTCCATAACAAGCAGTTCAATGTTGGAATGCAAAGTAACAGCAAACAATATTTCAAAAATACTCTTGAAAAAAAATCATTCCTGAATGACCCTTTTTTTATTTTATTTTTATCTTCTTTTATTCTTGCTTGGTTTTAAACTATACTTGTTAGTTTGTATGTTTACCTTGTAAACATACCCAGCTAACACAAAACGTTCAACGAAGGCTGCAAACGTTCGAAAACGTTCTATGAACGTTCGAAAACGTTCTATGAACGTTCGAAAACGTTCTATGAACGTTCGAAAACGTTCTATGAACGTTCGAAAACGTTCTATGAACGTTCGAAAACGTTCTATGAACGTTCATAGAATTTGCTTGAACGCTCGCAACGTTCGAAGAACGTACTTAAACGTTTTGTGTTAGCTGGGTATTTACGGAGAATGATTAATAAAATTATAATATATAACTCAAAATAAAAAAAACAAAAAAACAAAAAACAACCAGAAGTTAAAAATATAATTAAATTTTTTAAAAACAAAGTTAATTACATCGATAATTTAAATCGAAGTATTTTAAATCATCCATAAATTTTTTTGTTTTCCTCCACAAGTAAGCTGCTACTCAAGTAAGACTGAACTTAAACTATATTCTGAACTCATATAAGGATTCAATATCTATTTTTTAGCTAATGTTTTTAAAAGTAGAACAGATTTTTTACAGATAGACTTAAAATTTTACAGATAAAATTAAAATTTGTCCTACCAAATAATACTAGAAGTTTGTGTGTGCTACCAAATAATACTAGAAGTTTGTGTGTGCTACTAAATAATACTAGAAGTTTGTGTGTGCTACCAAATAATACTAGAAGTTTGTGTGTGCTACCAAATAATACTAGAAGTTTGTGTGTGCTACCAAATAATACTAGAAATTTGTGTGTGCTACCAAATAATACTAGAAGTTTGTGTGTGCTACCAAATAATACTAGAAGTTTGTGTGTGCTGCTATAAATAAGGTAGAGCAGGGCTAGTTAAACATAGGAGCAAGTTGGGCAATTAAAATATCCGAAAAACTACTCATTGCATGACAAAACATATAATTGATAAAAGTTAGGAAATTAGAATGGTGCATCAATTATATATAAAATAAATAATTTTTAAATTGGCTTTAAAGTTCAACATAATTGTATAAATCAATTTCTTTATATTTTATAACACTTTTTTACTTTATTTCATTCTTTGTCTTACTTAGGTTATTGAAACATATAAAATAAAAAGTTTATAAGTTATAGACCCGTTTACTGTTAACGATAGTTTTACTGATTTAAGTTCCACATAATACATATTTTTTAACTTGTTGCTCGCTCAACTTGCCCCACACACAGTTGCCTAACTTACCTTGTGTTGGCAGGTTTAGCAGCTTGGTAAACTTAAAACATTATCGTCTAATACAAATCAAAAAATATACTGTTTTCTTAGCCAATTTTTAGCAGATTAAATTATATTTCTAAGAGAAAAAAATTATGTAAATCAGACTCACTATTCATGAGATCTGTTGGATTTAGTAAAAATTCCCCTCTACCCTAATTCTTTTAAAAGAATTAGGGTAGAGGGAAAAACTTTAAAAAGATGAAAGAAATTATTGTTGTTGACCAGTTGATGACAAAAACTTTTGCAAAATAATAAATAATAAGAATATAAAAGTATTACATACATCGCAATAATAGCAATTAGAGGCACTAAATATACACAGTGAAAATCCAAGAAATAAACGATGACACAAAAAATACACTAAAAGCTATCATTCCGCATCAGAAAATGCCTACTTACTCATTAGATATAGCATGTTTTTCATTGATGGCTTGATCCTATCAAATCATAAAAAATTAAAATTGTTTCTAAAATTGATTCTTTTCCTTGATTATTGCTATTACAATTTTTATTAAATATATATACATATACACACATAAATATATACACATATACACACATACACATTTCGTTATGTTATATATATTGAATTTATTTTTAAAATACAAAAAGCTAAGGGGTTGTTCATAAATTACTTCACACAATTTTTGGACCCTCTCCCCGATTCCTAGTAACAAATCATCATGCTTTACACACCCCTCCCCCAAATTAATTAGGGTTTACTTCTAAGAAGTAAACCCTAATTTTCAACCTGTATTAAATATATATATATATATATATATATATATATATATATATATATATATATATATATATATATATATATATATATATATATATATATATATTCATTTAATGTACATAATTAAATAAAACAAGTAAATGCTGCAAGTAATAATTACCCTCTTGAAAAGTGCCTCTTTTGCAAGTGCTTTTTCCCTCTCCATACATTCTCGGTAAGAACTTATTTCATCTTCTAATAACTTTTCTCTTAAAAAAAAATAAAATAATAAAATAATAAAAAATTAACAATAAAAATAGTAAGTAAACAAGTTTACTTACTATTTTTAATTATTCAAGTTATTTATTTTATGTAATTTATTTGAGCTACCCAATTTTTTTAATCTAATTTATTTATTTACCCAACTTATTTATCTGAATTATTTAATTATTTAATAAATAAAACTTATTAAATGAAATATATATATATATATATATATATATATATATATATATATATATATATATATATATATATATATATATATATATATATATATATATATATATATATACATATATATATATATTCATAATAAATAAATATATAATTAAATATAAAAATAAATAAATATACTTTTGTTTTTGGTTCATTTTTTCTTTTTCTAAATCTTCAAGTTCAGTTTCAAGAAATTTAATTTGTCCTTCTAATGCTTCTTGTCCAGACTGTATGACTTCATATTCCATTAACTGCTTTCTTAATCTTTCTATTTCCTTTAGATCTTCTTGCTTAGAAGCTTCAAGGCTTTCTGATAACATTTCTGTTAAGGTATCAGTATTCACAACTTCGAGAACAGATGATTTTTTATTATGTATTTCGTGATCGAGCGCTATCTAATTAAATTTATTTTAAAATATCTAGAACCATTTCAAAAATTATATACACATATAACTATAATTAAACTTAAATTTAAGAAACAGCAAATTCAAAAACTACCTAGTCACCAATTTTCCGCATCTAAACTTAAACAACTTGTCTATGTATTCATATTGAAAATGCAACTCAAAATTTTATAAATATAAAAATCTTTCTGTTCCTTATTCTTTGTCAGTGTGTCATTGTAATTCACAATAAGATTGATTCTCCTTTCATCATTTACAGTTGTCATATGTGCAGCCAGCTACATCATTTACAACTGTCATGTGTGCAGCCAGTTCATAAAACTTATTGAAAAATCTAAATCTAAAAGGGCTATGCCAACCAGATGTTCAGAGAGAAACCAGAAGTGTCTTGTAAATGCTTTATGTGTCTAGCTGACAACAGCCTTCTTCAGATAGGTCTTCAGATTTGATGAAAACACAAAACCATTGAGAGGGGTTGGAATCCATATGAACAGTCAACTTGAACTGAGTCTTAAAAAGAAATACTTTCACAGCATAAATGGTTTTTGCCATCTCTAATGATGTGTTGCACTAGGAGCTCACCTGCTTTGTGTCCACCAAGAAACCATAAGAATAAAAATTTCTTATAATCCCTTAAGTGTTTTTTGTCAAAAGCGCCTGGTAAATAATTTTATGTCACATGCTCTTTAATAATCTGTGAATACAGAGTCCATGACTAAATTACTTTAACAAAAACATTTTCTTGAGCCTCTCTTATTCAAATGTGATTCAACTCACCTAAAACATCAGAGAACCAGAAGGTTTTCTTAAATTAATTTATTGTTAATAAGGCACAAGTTGTTGAATTTATTGATGCTGATATTGTAAGTGTACATGGCTGAATTGACTGATATTCCTCATCTTCTGCTACCTTCAAACTAGATGTCAATGAATTTCAGTGAAATTTATTTTTCATTAAAGTTATTTACCATGCGTTCTTTATATCTCCTTTTCACTATTCTCTTTTAATCCTTTTGTTTTTCCTGCTTCTTTTTGCAGCTATCATTACATCTACTCTGCTGCATAAAAATTTATTTTCTCTTTGCAAGTAAAGGAATTCCAAATACTTATTGTTCTGTATTTCTGTCATCTTGTTCATAACAAAATCAAACAATTCTTGAAAGTCATCTTTATATGTGACTTCTTTAACTGAGTTGCTTTCTTATTGTCATGTTCTGTGTACCTTCAGAGATCGATAGTTTTGATGCAGTTTTGTCAGTTTTCTGAAATATATGTGATCCATTGTACTGGTATCCTTGTCCACAACCAAATACAAATAACTGCATCACAAGACATTTGACAACTTTCCAGAAGGGTTTGTCAATCAGTTGTCAAAGCCAGTGTAGTTAAAAAGTATTCATCACACATTTTTCAAATGTTGAAAGGTTTAAGGATTATTTGTGTAAAATTTGCTCTTTAAAAGACCCTATAAGAAGAAACTTAATGGTTTTTTGGTATTTTTTCTAACTATTAGAACAAAATCTCCAATATGCTCAATTCAGTAAGTAACTAACTTTTTCATGACTTCCTCATTGTGTTTATTTACTTTTCTTTCAATCACGAATTTTAGCCATTCCCAGGGACAACATCCCATTATCATGGTAATTTGAGAGTTATTCAGAGAATGCACAAAGAAATAAGTATTATTAAACGACCTTTTCTACTCCTATTGCATTACTTTATTATTTGATTCTATTTTTATTTTATTTTTATTTGTACACAATATACTAATACTAACAACATTAATACGCATTATTAGCAACACTTCCAAATCAGGTCAGGTTCAGGATCATCACAATCACCCTGTTACTATATTTTAATACGTATGGCTGGTAGTAAAGTTTTCCAAACTCTTTCATAGCTCTCAGAGTTCTGTAAATATTATTATTGCGACTTTAATGCTCATTAAAATGAATGATTCTGCTGGCAAATAACTTCTATATTTCTCTTTTATCCAGATATTTAAATTTGTGAATCTTTTCCAGACAAACCAATACACTTAACTTCAGTCCTTAACTTGTGTCTTGTTTTTAATCTGAGTTTGTCTTCTGTTTCTCCTAGTGTAGTTGCTATATATAATTTTAATAACTGCAAAGTTTGCATTTGCTAAGACTGATTTCTCTTTACCGTGCTTACAATTTTCTTACTCCAATCCCTATTTTTATATTCCAATCTCTACCTTTACAAATTTCTTATTCGTTCCTGTATGAAACACTGTTGTTATATTGGGGCTGGTTCTACTAACGATATTCTTTCTCTTCAAGAAAAAGTCCAAAAACCCATTGTAAATTGCTGGACCAGCATTATTTGCCAAACTTATGCCTCTATCCCATTTTTGTAAGGTTGCATCTCTTACTCTTTTTTACAAATACTATGATGGTTGCTGCTTAAACAAGCTATCAGATTTAGCTCTATCAACCAAAATTTTTCTCACTTGACTCCTCATTCAGCTAAGTTCCATTTTTTTTGTATAGGTTTTATACTTTAAAAACTTTTATTTATCTAGTTTTTTTTCATGCAGTTAAATGCTTTGGAACTTTCTCCTTTCTTTATATTTTCCTGACTCATACAACCTACATCAAGTCTTCTATCAAACACTTCATTGCTTTTGAACACTATTATTTGTTTTCTAGTAACTCCTAAGTAGTTGCTTGCAGCCTTGTTGAGAAGGATTTAGTTAAAAAAAATAAGTAAAAACAAAACAAACAAAAAAACAAAACAATAATTAACACAAATATAATTTTGTTGTTTAGCTTACAGTTTTCTTATTAAGATCTTCTTTTAATAATTCATGATTTTCCTAGACAAAATATAATAGATAATATATATATATATATATATATATATATATATATATATATATATATATATATATATATATATATATATATATATATATAATAGTTTAACTGAAAAAGTATAAATAAATTAATTACAAACAGATTTAAAAAAATTACTTCAAGAACTTTTAACTCCTTGTTTTTTTCAGCTATAATAAGAAAACAGTTATCCAACTGATCTCTGAGATTAGAAACATCTTCATTAAATGTTAATGCCTTTAAAAAAAAAACATCTTCATTAAATGTTAATGCCTTTAAAAAAAAACATCTTCATTAAATGTTAATGCCTTTAAAAAAAAAAACATCTTCATTAAATGTTAATGCCTTTAAAAAAAAAAACATCTTCATTAAATGTTAATGCCTTTAAAAAAAAAACATCTTCATTAAATGTTAATGCCTTTAAAAAAAAAACATCTTCATTAAATGTTAATGCCTTTAAAAAAAAACATCTTCATTAAATGTTAATGCCTTTAAAAAAAAAACATCTTCATTAAATGTTAATGCCTTTAAAAAAAAAACATCTTCATTAAATGTTAATGCCTTTAAAAAAAAAAACATCTTCATTAAATGTTAATGCCTTTAAAAAAAAAAACATCTTCATTAAATGTTAATGCCTTTAAAAAAAAAAACATCTTCATTAAATGTTAATGCCTTTAAAAAAAAAAACATCTTCATTAAATGTTAATGCCTTTAAAAAAAAACATCTTCATTAAATGTTAATGCCTTTAAAAAAAAACATCTTCATTAAATGTTAATGCCTTTAAAAAAAAAAACATCTTCATTAAATGTTAATGCCTTTAAAAAAAAAAACATCTTCATTAAATGTTAATGCCTTTAAAAAAAAAAACATCTTCATTAAATGTTAATGCCTTTAAAAAAAAAAACATCTTCATTAAATGTTAATGCCTTTAAAAAAAAAAACATCTTCATTAAATGTTAATGCCTTTAAAAAAAAACATCTTCATTAAATGTTAATGCCTTTAAAAAAAAAAACATCTTCATTAAATGTTAATGCCTTTAAAAAAAAAAAACATCTTCATTAAATGTTAATGCCTTTAAAAAAAAAAACATCTTCATTAAATGTTAATGCCTTTAAAAAAAAAAACATCTTCATTAAATGTTAATGCCTTTAAAAAAAAAAACATCTTCATTAAATGTTAATGCCTTTAAAAAAAAAAACATCTTCATTAAATGTTAATGCCTTTAAAAAAAAAAACATCTTCATTAAATGTTAATGCCTTTAAAAAAAAAAACATCTTCATTAAATGTTAATGCCTTTAAAAAAAAAAACATCTTCATTAAATGTTAATGCCTTTAAAAAAAAAAACATCTTCATTAAATGTTAATGCCTTTAAAAAAAAACATCTTCATTAAATGTTAATGCCTTTAAAAAAAAAAACATCTTCATTAAATGTTAATGCCTTTAAAAAAAACATCTTCATTAAATGTTAATGCCTTTAAAAAAAAAAACATCTTCATTAAATGTTAATGCCTTTAAAAAAAAAAACATCTTCATTAAATGTTAATGCCTTTAAAAAAAAAACATCTTCATTAAATGTTAATGCCTTTAAAAAAAAACATCTTCATTAAATGTTAATGCCTTTAAAAAAAAAAACATCTTCATTAAATGTTAATGCCTTTAAAAAAAAAAACATCTTCATTAAATGTTAATGCCTTTAAAAAAAAAAACATCTTCATTAAATGTTAATGCCTTTAAAAAAAAAAACATCTTCATTAAATGTTAATGCCTTTAAAAAAAAAAACATCTTCATTAAATGTTAATGCCTTTAAAAAAAAACATCTTCATTAAATGTTAATGCCTTTAAAAAAAAAAACATCTTCATTAAATGTTAATGCCTTTAAAAAAAAAAACATCTTCATTAAATGTTAATGCCTTTAAAAAAAAAAACATCTTCATTAAATGTTAATGCCTTTAAAAAAAAAAACATCTTCATTAAATGTTAATGCCTTTAAAAAAAAAACATCTTCATTAAATGTTAATGCCTTTTAAAAAAAAAAGAGTGAAATAAAAAAAGGTTATTGATTCTAATAAATTTTTTATGATGCATAACAATTCTACTGCTATGCTGATTCTACTAGGCATTTTGGTTGGCACAGCAATAAAATATTTTTCTCTTTTGAATATTAAAAATGGCAACTTTAATCCCAACATTTTTTTAGATTAGTTCTAATGTTAATAAATATAATAGCTGACCTGCAAAAATACCTTTTTAAGCTTATTCCACACTGAACTTTTTTCTTAAATATTCTGTTCGGACCCATAAAAAATGAGTCTTCACAAAACTGACCATTTCTATATTTATCTATTCCACATCGATCATTTATCTATACTTATTCCTTATTTACTTCAATATATTTTAGTCAACGATAGAAAAACAGCTCATGAAAAAAAAAAAAATACTTTAAGAACAAAAAAAAATTAACATACATAGAGCCCCTTTTCCACATACATAGAGCTTACAAGAGATTTATAAAATAGTTTGTTTATCACTTACATACTTTCATTTGGCCATATATACTTTTAGGAAAAAATTAAATATATGCTATATTTAAAAGACTTGATTATTAAAATAAAATTTTGAAATTTTTGCAAGCTATGGGCTATTTTTTTATTTTTGCCTCCACAGCAGCACTTTCTGTAGTAGCAGGACAGGCAAATTAATTTTTTTCCTTATTACGTTTCAGACCATAATTTTTTTCCAGAACATCGCAGCTTATTAGAATTAATTACCTAAGCACATTGATAACGTAAGTATCTCTACCATGGCAGATGCGCAACAAATTTCAAACTATCAGCATTACTACTACTACTACTACTACTACTACTACTACTACTACTACTACTACTACTACTACTACTACTACTACTACTACTACTACTACTACTACTACTACTACTACTGTTACTACTACTACTGCTACAACTACTACTATATTTTTTATATTAGTTGTTTATCTTACAAAATGGCTAAAAAGGACTGTGTAGTTGCTTTGCAGAAGCGATTACAAAAAGAAAAAAAATGATGATAATGAAGAGGGTTTTATAACTGAAACAATATTTAATTGTCCTTCAGACATAGATTTATGCTCCCAGCGAATAAAGTTAATAAAAAGAATTAATTGAAACCATCTAAATTCTACGGAATATGTATTAATTATTTTAAAGGAAAGTTTATTGAATGAGGCAAAATTCAGTAGACTTTACAATGAATCCTATTCCAACAATTTAAACAAATAAACATTGTTTTTTAAAGCCATCTTTACTTCCTACACTTACAGCTTTAAGAAAGTTTCCTACAAAAAAACCTTATTCTCATTGATTGCTAGATGAAACAGTGGTTTTCAAAAAACAAAATATGATTTGTTCAGTGAATAGCTTGACAGAACAAATTTGCCCTCAAAATATTTTATTTAAGAAAATATATGGTGGTATTATTTATAATCCTGTTATTATTGAAAAAATGAGATCATTAACTAAAACTAATGTTGATAAAAATCTGCAAGTAAAATTATACCATAAAGGAAACTTGATACCTCTTCCCCAATGGTCTATACCCTTTGTTGTTAAAGCATATCCTGAAACAAGTATTTCTGGATTTAGTTTTAAAATTGGTTGATGACTGAAACAGAAGAGTGTCTAACAAATTTTTTTGATGCTAATTTTAAAATTTGTGCTATCATCACAGAGAACCATTCAACCAATCAACTTGCATTTAAAAAATCTCATTATCAAGAGTACAATTCTACAAAGAACTTTTTTTTTTTTAAATATGGACAAAATAAAATTTACATATTATTTGGTAGTGTACATCACCATAAATAATCTAATATATTCAAAGAGATTCTTTTTTCTAATATTCAATTTTGATAAATTTGAGAATACAATTACTGTTAGTAACTTACTTAGAAATATTTGTTAGAAGTTATTTCACTAAAGTTAATAATAAAGATAACTTACTGTCTAAAATTAATAAATACTTGGTGGACAATATCAAATTCAAAGAATATATATATAATACTAATAATAAAATAGAAAATGCTATTGTTGCAAATTGCCAAAAAACTTATTTTTTGAATGTGTCTGGTCAATATTTTGAGTGTCTGAGTATCTAAGCCCTTTACCTATAGTAAAGTGCTAAGTTACTCAGTTTGTGGTAAAAAACGGCTCTTAGCTTGCTTGTGGTATTAAAGTTGACAAAATTAAGGATACATTATTTCAAAACGCATTAATTTAATTGCAGAAAGTAATTAAACCACAAAACCACAAATTAAAGGACTAAAATGTTTTTAAAAACATTCTAAATATTTTTAAAAACATTCTAGTCCTTTAATTTGGTTTAAAAACATTCTAGTTTTAAAAACATTAAAAACATTAGAACATGCGCAGAGTGTAGCTACATCATCTATCTTATAGCCTGATTCACAAAGAAGTGCTGCTACATCGACTGACAAATAACCTGACTCGCAACAGAGTGCTGCTACATCAACTGACAAATAGCCTGACTCGCAACGGAGTGCTGCTACATCGACTGAAAAATAGCCTGACTTGCAACACAAGAGTGTTGCTACATTGACTGAGGGTTTGGTTTGGGTAGACAGTCTATCAAACAACTAAAAAAACAAAAAATAAAAAACAGAAAAAAATTTTTCTGGTCTTTAAAAATAAATAAAGTTGACCTTTTATGGTAAAAACTTTAAGACGACCAAGCAAGAATATATATATATATATATATATATATATATATATATATATATATATATATATATATATATATATTTATATATATATATATATATTCTTGCTTGGTCGTCTTTAAGTTTTTACTATAATATATATATATATATATATATATATATATATATATATATATATATATATATATATATATATATATATATATATAACACACAATACAAATATCTTACATCTTTTTCCCTTTCCTCCTTTTCTTTAGCAAGTTTGCTGCTTTCACATTGCAATGTTTCAGTAAGTTTTGTGATTTTAACTTTCTATTAAAGGTGATTTAATAAACAACATATTATATAAATATAAAATATATTATATAATAAACTTTTAACACTCACAAAAAATTAAAACAAATAATAATTAAAAATTTAAACAAACAATATTTTGAAATAACATGGAGACCTATTTTTACTTAACCTTATAGTTATTTTTTGTATTTTAATAAAATCAACTTTACAGATGCTAGGAGCTTATAGCTTTATAATTATATGAAAAATTTGAAAAAGAAGCTTAATCCTTAAACTTACAAATATTATATATATAAAAATATATATTATATACATATATATAGATAAAAAAAAACAGTTAGACCTTTTTTTCAAAAGAAATTTGTAGTAAATCATGCTGTTGTTTAATATCTTCAAGCTCCAGTGTCAAAGAAGATATTCGTGATTCTTTGTCTATTATGGTGGTTTGCAACTCTTGAACTGTCTTCATAAAATTATTAATTGCCTCTTTGTCTGCCATATTCATCCATTTTTGAGCTATAACTTCAGATCGTGATTTTTCTAAGTCTGCTTGCATTTTCTCTAATAACTGATTCTAAAATATTTACAGTTTTATTCAAGATCAAAATCATGGTTTGATCTGGTTTTAGCATATATATATATATATATATATATATATATATATATATATATATATATATATATATATATATATATATATATATATATATATATATACAAACACACACACACATAAAGACTTTAAATCAAACCGCAAAAGAGTTTAGCAATGTCAAAGGACTGAAGAAGTTGCAGCATTGGCTATTGACAAATAGGAAGCATCCTCTCATGAAACAGTTTGTCTTGGTAGGGCTGATGGATATAATGCAAACCAATTTCAGTTCTATTAGCATTTTCTTTTTTATTTAAATTAAAAAGCCTGGGTCTTTTTAACAAAAAAGCAAAACTGACCACTTAAGATCTTGCTTATGCAACACAGAGCTCTTGTGATGAAATAAGCAAGGTCTTAAGGTATGCTATTGTAATGATATGAAAAAACTGGTATCCATTCTTAATCAAGTTGGAATGTTGAAAATAACTTGGAACATTGTAACAGTACGACAAAATAATATTTGACACATTAAAATATTGTTCTTTACAAATTTTAAGCCATCAACATTGTAATAATATCAAATAAAAATAACAGTTATAGTTTTGAGATAATGGCATAAATTTATTGTATTGTTAGTCGCCAAAATCTGAAATCTATGGTCACTCACCTGGTCATCAAGTTTTTTTGCTGCTACGTTCAACTCTTCCTGCAAAGCATTAATTGTCTCAACAGATCTCATCAGCTCCTATTTGGAACAGTTTATTTAAAACCAGAACAAAAGGTTAAAATAAAAAAATTAAAACAAAATAAAAATAGATATATAACATCAGTAAAATAAAAATATGAGGTAATAATAAAAATTAACAAACAAAATACAAAAAAATACAAAATTCTAAATTAAAAAATCACACCGCATGCTTGTCTTCTTGAGAAAGCTTCATTTTCATTTCCATTTCCATTTCATTGTTAAGCTTCTCAAGAGCAACCTAATATTTCAAATAAAATGAAAATAATTACAAAATGACATCAAGACCAAAAACAAAAATTTGTATAACTAGTAGTCAAATATTTTGACCTAAATATACGACCTGTAGTCAAAAAGTACAATCAGTAATCAAGGAGATGACCTGTCGTCAAAAAGTACAATCAGTAATCAAGGAGATGACCAGTAGTCAAAAAGTATGACCAGTAATCAAAGAGATGACCAGTAGTCAAAGAGTATGACCAGTAGTCAAAGAGTATGACCAATAATAAAAGAGTACCACCAGTAGTCAAAATATTCAAAAAAGTAGTTGAAAGAAATAGACGAAAAAAACAAAAAAATTAAAAACCAAAACAAACACAATCAAAAAACCAAAATGAAATTTCAAAATAACTTTAATCTAATTATAATTCACAAGAATTGACAAACATTGACAAGCAAGTTTTCAATGTAACAGCTGAAAAACAAACAAAGTCATTTAGCGATCTTAGAAAACAAAACCATTTAGCGATCTTGAAAATATATTAGTTAAAGCAATCACGAGCGTTAAATTTTTATATTCCTGGGTGGAAGTATTTATGAAAAAAGATTTTATCATGTTTTACAACGATGTTGACACAAAATAACCTGGTCAGACAAACATTACCTTTATTCAAGAATGTTTGAATGTTTGTCAGAATGAATGTCCGTCAGAATGGTTTAAACTAACTTTAAAATTAATGAGTATACTTTTCAGACCAAATGTATCACCGACAAATGATTGTCTTTAAAGTTCAATAATATGCATACGCCTTTGAAGCCGAATAAAATAGTAATAAGCTTTGATATACATCATTTCTAATTTGTTTAAAAATTATATCATATAACAGTATTTTATTCAGTACTTGTAATACCTGGACTAACATCTGCTTTAAAGAAATAATATTTAAAATGTAGTTATGAGAGTCCTATAAAAGAACTTAGCTATTCTGTATAAATTTCCGCAATATGGTAAACTTGAGTTCATTTTCCCTTTGAATACCATATCATCTTACATTAAACACACTCAACACTTTTTGATGTAAAATAGTTGAAAAACAATTTTTGGATAATGTTACAATAATAATGTAAGATGATTAATTATCAGTAGTTTATGAGTTAATGTAAGATGATTAATTAATTCATAAACTACTGATACGGCCATTTTCATGAAAATTGATTGTGAGAAATAAAAATAAAAAAGATTAAAATTTAAAATAATCTTGTATACCATAAAATATTCTATTAACAAATGTCACAAAAAAGCCATGTAATTCAAAATACTGTATTGTAAAACCAAACATTAAAACAATGACAATGATGATAAATAACAGTAAATAACAGGAGGATGTCTCCAGGACGTCTCACAGACGTCCAGACATCTGATGCCTACATATGCCCACTGGGGAAGCAATGGGCATATATAGGCTGTGCTGTTTATTTAGAGCTTAGATTAATTAAATTTAGAGCTTTAGAGCAAATTGAGTGGTCAAAGTTCCTTTGATTAAGACTTTGATGTAACTAATTTTATGTTTTAAATTTGTTTTTTTGGATTTTACATTGAAATGTCAGTTTCTCTTGCTCTAAAACTTTTTCTCTAAAATGTCAGTTTATCTGAAAAAAACCTTGGTTCTTACACTGGCAACCCTATGTTGCATGTTCTAGAAAGATTTTTTTTTCGTTTAAAGTTGATTTTCTACAAAGTATGTCAGTTCACAAATGTTTCACAAATAAAAGTGTTTTCTAAATTTTAAAACGTATTTTCATATTATCATAGATGAGTTTTTGACTTTATGAAAATCGCGGAAATTTTTTTCTTTGAAAATCCCGGAAAGTCATTTTCATGAAAATTCTGGAAAATCCCGGAAAAATTTAGGATCAATAAACTGACGAAGGTATGTGGGTAAATTCTGGAACGTTGGTAAAGGGATAAATAAAGAAACTAAAAACTACTCATTAATTATGTTTCTCTAAAATGAAATATAATATCTCAGTTTTAACATAAGCAACCTGCAAAGCGCAATAATTTCTTTATATTTAAAATATAAAATGTAAGACAATGGAATAAATGTCAGGAATCAATACTTTTTTTTCTTATAATTTTCTGTTGTGAAGCATTCGTCAGCTTTTCTTTTTTTGCACTTTTTTGCATGATCAATAATAGATTCTTTAACTTTTTTGCACTGTTCATGTAAGGCAATTTTTTTTTCCACGTTGAATTTATATTTAAAAATCTTTCTTCAACTTTTCTATTTTTCCGATGGAATTTCATTTTTTTATTATAGCGTTTGCTTGCAGTTTGCAAATGACCACAGATATTTTTGTTAACTGGGTCATGCAATATATCTCGCCTTTTAAAGTACCCTACTGCTGTGGTCTCGTTTGCTAATAATTGATACTTAACTGAAGCTATAGCAGAGTACGCTAAAGTATCAAGACGGTTTGTCTTTTTGTTAACTATGGTGTTCATCATGCTGAATGATTGCTCAACATGAGGACTACTAAAAATACTTAAGCATGCCTTGATAATCTTACTAAGCTCTAAATATTTTTTACACTTAAAAACTTCAGCCCACCAATAGTCAAGACGTACGGGCTTCCCATCATCAAATACGGGTGGAAGCGCTATATCTATCTGAAGCTGCATAACTTCTCGATTAAATATTACTTTATTTATATCTACAGAGGGAAAGAAAGTTGACTTTTTTTAGCATTCTCTCTGTAATTTCGTGACCTTGAGACATTGGGTCGATCGCAGAAAGGCATTTTAATAAAGGGTTGTTAAAGGGTAATTTATTAAGTAAGTAAACTGACGATTCAAGGTAAGCTTTTAGCAAGGTCTTTAAAAACGATGATTTGAAATCAGGATTTTGAATAAGTATTCTTGACAAATATTTTTCAGCATTACTTCCAAGGTATATGTAGTTCGAATGGCGATACATTTTTTTATCTTTCAGGTTTAAAAACTTCAACTTTTCTCCTGTTATATTTTTTATCATCTTTGGCTTAATAAAACAAGTTAAAATTGTTTTCACTAGTTCAATTTGCTCATCATAAATTCGATGGAGTAACGGTTCTTTTTGTTCAAAAGTTAAAATGAATGATTTAAAAATAGGAAGAATTTCAATGTACAAAATAATATAAAGTAATGTTTCATTACGTCGGAAAAATAAACTTTTAACAATTCTCGCTTTTCTTTGTGCACCTTGTTTTGTTAGTTTTTTCTGTTGCATATTACATTTTATTTTTTCTATTAGTTTCTTACTTTCATTTGATAGCCTCTTTTTGTCACTTTCATCTTTATACAGAGAGATGTCTTGTTTTGATAGCCAAGAAGAATAAATTAAGGTGAAAGCAGGCATCATCTCAAGCATAGGAAGAGTGCAATCTAAAACAGACAACCATCGATTACAAACCCTTTGCTTTGGAGTGTTGTATGTGACACCTGTGATTTGACAGATTTTTTTCAGAAATGTACAAAGATCTGGGCTATATTTAAAATCAATGTAGATATCATCCAGTAAATTTTCAACTACCTTGCCGAAAAAAGAAGTAAATTTTTTGACAACATTATGCACATGATAACAAATATCACCATCAATATCAAGTAAGTGAGGAACCGCTTTTCTTAACCTTGTTTCAAACCCACTGATTTTTCCTCTCATATAATTGGTAGAATCTGATAAATTGGAAACAAGATTACTTAATGGAATTGCGTCTTTGTTAAATAAATGAATAACAGCATTAAAAAGACTTTCGGCATTTACCGTAACAAGTGATAATGACGCGTAGTGCTTTAATACAACTTTATTATTTTTGTCGCAAAAATATGCTACGAGTATACTGAGAACCTTCTCATTTTTTGCCGAGAAGCACTCATCTATGTTAAGGGAGAACATTTTTATTTTCATATCAAAAACAAGCTCAGCATGAAAAGCTTCACCTAATCCTTCTCGCAGCTTATACGAAGCAGTTGTTCTGAACATTTTCAAATTTTTTAAAACACGATGATCTTTAGACATTTCCTTTGCGTATTCAATCATATGGGATGTTAAAGATATTGGAAGATTGTATTCACAAATAAATGCGAGTGTCATAGCTTCTGCATTTGATGTCCTGTCTCTAAAACTTACAATAGGTTTAATGGTAGGCTTTACTCTCTTTGTGCAAGTACTGCCAATATGCACGTTATCCGGAGTGCCATATGGCAATATACACATATCTGTTTTTTTTTAATTAGTAAAAAATGACGACGTTATGGCTTCGTTGGACTTAATCATTGCGCAGTTTTGACGATGCATTTTAGACTTTGAGTGGCTGAGTAAAGATTTTTTACCTTCACTTCCGTAATAAAAGTCTTTATACCATATTGTACATCGTACCTAAAACATCAAATCAAATAATATATAACTATGATGAAGTTATATATTTCAGTGTTCAGTTAGAGAATAAACTTACCGCTCCGGCTTTATTTATCTTTGTAATATAGGCTGAATAATGCTCATCATTATAGTCTTTCTCTTGAAGCCAATTCCAGCGAAACTTGCTTTTAATATTTTTGTCTATCTCAGAAATGTCAGATAAACTCTTAACTTGCATTTTCTTTTCTTTCTTCTTGATAGTAATTTTTAACGACAAGATCTTTTGCAAACGTTTAAAACGGAATTTACATCAATTAACTTCTTAAGAAAAAGAATTTCTAATATTCAAAAAAGTTAATTTGAATGAATTAAAAAGAAAAAAATTTTTTGAAAAAATTGATCTTGTGAAAATTTCATTTATAGAAAACATAATTGCTTAAATGCAAACCATGTCGTATTTAAAATTTTATATAACTTTTTACAAATCAATAGCAAAAAGCATCCGGAATTTCCCGGAAATTTGATGTGAATTTCCGGAATTCCGGGAATTCCCGGAAAAAACTCATCTATGATATTATACATATTAATCATTGCACTTTTAAAGATAAGCCTTTACTTTTATATCTTTTACATTTACTTTTTTTAATGACAGATAGCTTATATAATGATATTTAAATGTGTTTTTATAATAGCTTTTGATGTTTGGGTTAGGGTTACCTAAGTTAACCAAATGATATAAAATAGTCAAGCAAATGTTGAGACTTACAAAGTTTGTCTCACAAATGTTGTAACCTGTGAAACGGATGCTGCAAGTTGTAACTTGAAAAAAAACTACTTTTAACTTTTAAGGTTAACTATTAGTGTTATAAAATATTTAGAATATTTAGAGCTAGGTCATCAAAAGAGCTAAACATAAAGTTGTAAATCGCAGCACTTGAATTTTGATATGACATATAGTCTTGCTATGATTTGTTTTACAGGTCACTTACTACTTGTTAACATTAAACTAAATTATATCATAAATTTCTCATTAAAACATGTTATCAGTTAAACTTTCATAACTTAAATTTTTTTAAAAAAAAAAGAACCTGCAGTTTATCTTCTTCTTCTTTAAGTTTTTTTTTGTATTCTTCAACAACTTGTTCTAGTTCAAAGTTTTTATGCCGATAAAACTCTAACTCTTCCTTGCAATTTTCAAAACCAGCCTAATTAAAAAAAAAAAAAAAATGTGACTAGTAATATTTCAAAATTTAAAATTTTAAAAAAATAAATTATAAGATAATATTTATACTTGTAAATTATTGTTTTCTTCTGCAGTAGCATCCATTTCCGTTCTCAAATTTAGCAGATCAATTTCAAGTTTTACACACTAAAAAATTTAAAAGTTGTGTTTGAAAGTATTGCTTTTAACTTTATTGTCATTTAACAAAATTTCATCATCATAAGTAAATAACTTAGATAAAAAAAAGTCTTGTTGCATAGAACAGTTCTAAAATAGAATTGAAAAAAATAATTGTTAGCAGTACATGCTATTGAATTTGAATTTGCAACATGTTACTGCTAACAATGGTAATGTTAGCGATGTTAGCAAAAAACTATTATAAAATATTAGAAAATAGAATTAGAAAAAACCATTGTTAGCAATTAGATGTTGTTAGCAACTAGATGTTGTTAGCAACTAGATGTTATTAGCAACTAGATGTTGTTAGCAACTAGATGTTATTAGCAACTAGATGTTGTTAGCAACTAGATGTTGTTAGCAACTAGATGTTGCTGTAACTATCAGCTTAATAGTTAAATAAATAAAATTTATAATAAATATAAAATATAAACAGAGATTTTATAGATTTGTAAAAAAAATATAGTGTAAATGTGTAATCAAAAACATAAGTAATTTTCCTAGCATTTCACTTAAACCTTTTCTCAAATTGGTTAAAGTCTTCCAAAAAAACAACCATTGCGATCCCCTGAGTTGGTACATGAAGATAATTATATAGAATTTTTAAAAAATTATCCTCTTGTATTTTGCAAAAATACAAGTTGCAAAAATACAAACTTGTACTTTGCAAAAATACAAAACAAAAGTTTTGCAGATTATTTCCATTTACTTATAAAATTTATACCTTAAAAAAAAACAAAATTTAACTGGAAAAAATAGATCAGTAAAATAAGCAATTCTATGAATCAAACTTACAAAACAACTAACCATTCACATGAAATATTCTTAAGCTTACAAAAGTTCATTTTGTTAAGTACTTTTGAAAGTACATTTAAAAGTATAAAGCAAGAAGAAAAAAAATTTGATGATCTGCACAAAAATCAAACAAAAACTAAATAACAAAAAACTTTGTAAATAAGGAGCAGGGCTTAGCAATACATACAATAACAAAAAGTATTTACTCATTATTTCCTACTCTCTTTTATTTTACTTATTGTTTAATAAATTCCTAAGTTCTTTTGCAGGTGAAAAACTAACAAATGTAACATATAATGTAATTTTGCAGGTGAAAAATTAAAAAATTTTACATAAAAAAGGAACAAATGTAAAGATATAAAACATATTTGAATGTTATTTAAATATTGTACCTTGCTTTCAACAACTGCATACTTGCGACTTGCTTTGCTTGCTTCTTCACATTTCTCATCTTTTAAATTATTTAACAGTTTTTGAGCCTCTAATAGTTGTGACTTATAGTTTTCGGCATCACTTGTTAACACTGTTGAAAAAAATAATTACAATTAATTATCACAGCCATTAAACTTTTGTGTTGAAAAAATCATGTTGCTTGTGGTTTAAATTTTAAGTAGATAAATATTGGGATAGTGGTAACAGCATGGAACAATTAAATATTATGACAATGGTTACATATAAAAATCAATAAATAACATGATATGGTTACAGCTTGAAATGTGTCAATATTTTATTTATATTTAACCCATATGGACATATATGAAAATTAAATACTAATATAACAAAATGCTAAACCATTTTTGTTCATTTCCAAATTATACAACATTGAGCATTATATAGATAATTTATTTACTGTTACAAAAAATGACAGAATCTTATCACTTAGAAAATCAATTTTTTATATGTTAGTAATTCAATTAAAATATTTTATTCAGATAAAATTTAACTAGTATTTAAAATGACAACATAACTGCAGCAAAATCTCATAAGTCATAAATAAGAAAATTTTATCATACTGATAAATATTTTTTTCTTTATTATTTTTTAATAAATATAAATGTTTTTTTTCTTTATTATTTTTTGTCGTAGATATTAAAAGCTTTTAATAAAAAAATTGTTAAATTTTTTCTTTACAAACGGTGGATGCGTTTTTATAACAGCAAAAGAGAAAATTGAAGATGAATAATATAGAAAAAACCAAACTATACATAAAAATTCTAATTATTTATTTATTTTATAACCACAAATAACTAATCAATGATCATATAAATTAACTTAAAGCAAACATGCGCATAAAAAATCATTCAAAAAGGAAAAAAGTATACGTAAAAAAACTAAAAAAAAAACTTTGAATTTAGAAAAAAAAACAACAAAAAAACACTTCATGAAAATAAAAAAAAAAAAAAAAAAAAAAGGTAAACAAAAGAACGAAAGTAGAGTAACAAATAAAAAGGAAGAAAAGATTAGAAGAATTAAATAATCAATTTAAAAAGAAAGAAGAAAAAGCAAATGTAAAGCTCGAAGATTTTTTTTTTTTTTTTTTTTAATAATTCTTTTTTCTTTACGATTTAACTTGTAATCATGATTATAAATCATTAGCTATTATTATTTTTAGTTCATTAGTTATTATTATTTTTCAGTCATTATATTATTATTTGTTTTCTCACATTATATTAGTTTTTTTTAGTTAATTGTATTTATTTTTAGTCCTCGTTTGATACCTACTTATTTTATTTATTACATATATATTAAATATTATATTTTTATAAACTTATTTATTATTGACTTATTTTTAGGTGTTATTATATTAATATCTATGTTAACAATATTATTATTGGAAGCAGTTAACAGTAGTTATATTATTATTAGTATATATTATTAATATAATATAGATGTTATTAAAGTATTATTAGTTATTTTTTTATATTTGATATCTTTAGTTGTCTTAGTTACTGTTAATATTAGTTTGTGGTTTGTCAAAGTTTTATTTATTTTGATTGTTTAATTTTATAACTGTTAGCTTTTAGCTTTCTTTAGTGTTACAAATTTTTTCTATCATTTCTTTATATTGTTATTAAAATTATTTTTGATTATTCGCGCCAACGGTTACCCAAGTTTTAAATTAATAAATTTAGTCTTCTACTTTGCATTTTTTTTTTGTTTTTTTTTAAAAAAAAAAATCTCTATTTCACACTTTAGTCACTTGAACTAGTTAATACTGTATATACATATACATTTTTTCTAAAGATTATGGCATTTAAATCTCTTTGCAATACTTGTCATAAAAATATAACTGACAATCAAAGAGCCATCCAATGTGATCTTTGTAACTCATGGGTCCATGCAAAGTGTAACCATATCAATGCACAATCATATAACCTTCTTTTGAATGACTCATCAGATTTGTATTGTCATAGCTGTTTATCTAAGAGTATGGCCTTAAGCTCGATTTCCAACTTGGAGCTTAAGTCAACATTATTATGCAAAAATATATCTACTAGTTCATTATATTCTTTTGAAACTCCAAGTAATCATAAAAATATCTTTAAAGATTGCAAATACTATGACGTTGTTGATCTCAATAAAACTATGCTTCCCAATTCAGAACTATATATTCATCTTAACATCGCTTCCCTACCATTCCATATTGATAAACTCTGTAGTCTTATCAGCTCGCTTAACAATTTTCCCTTAGCAATAGGTATTACAGATTCTAATTTATACATAAACAATACAAATATAACTGATATATACATAAACGGGTTTAATATTGAGCATTGTCCTACTGAGGCTAAAAAAGAAGCACTTACGCTTAAATTTAAACTACGTCGTTTGCAATGATCTTATGATTTACTCTTCAAAACATTTAGAGTCTATTTTTGTTGAAATTTTAATATCTTTTGAATCAAATATAATAATTGGTTGCATTTACCGTCATCCCTCAACGAATCAACATGAATTTACTTCTTCCCACTTAACTCCTCTACTTGAAAAGTTAAGTAAAAAAAAAAAAAAAAAAGATATTTCTATTGGGTGATTTTAATATGGATTTATTAAGTCACAATGAATCTAACCCTGTTTCTACATATCTAAATTCTTTAACATCTTACTCGCTAAGCCCTTCTATAATTTTACCATCACGCATAAGGGCTACATCAAAAACGCTCATTGATAATATATTTACAAACTTTCATTCAACTGATCAATTCTTCAGTAACCTTACTATTTCAATTTCAGACCACATGGCACAATTTATTTGCATTCCTGGCATACCCCACCACCCTAAAAAAGTAAAAACTTACAGACGATGCTTCAAAAAATTTAATAAAAATATATTTATTGAAGAAATTTCTGATATCAACTGGGAACTCTTCATTAAAAAAGATGATGATGTTAATAAATCCATGAATTTTGGATTACATATGGAATACTTAAATCTATTTCAGTTAAAAACAAACTTTATAAAAAGTTTATAAAATCAAAAAATATTTATTTTAAGAAAAATGAATTTTAAGAAAAATGAATTATTTGCAAAATTTAAATTTTATAGAAACAAAATTTCTAATCTATTAAAATTTAGCAAAAAAAACTTTATTACTTATTTTAACAATAATCTGAACAATATTAAAAACACCTGGAAGGGAATAATTTTTATTTCATTAATATTAGACCTTCTACACACAATACTTGGATTAATAATTAGAAATCATTAATATTAGACCTTCTACAAGCAATACATTTTTTTAACTTAAATTGAACAAAAATCTTATCACTGATCACACTGCCGTATCTAATATATTTAATAATTACTTTAGCATTATACACAACAAACTACTTAGCAAAGCCATACCCCCTAAACGCATATTTAGTGACTTTCTTAACATTCCTAATGCATATTCGTTTTTTATTAATCCAGTAACTAAAAATGAAATATCTGGTCTCATTACAAACACGCTTAAAACAGAAAAAAGTCTTGGTCCTAATAGCGTACCTACATTTCTCCTCTAACTAGTCTCACACATTATTTCAAAGCCTCTCTGTACTATTATAAATAACTCATTTAAAAGTGGTATTTTCCCAGATATTTTTAAAATTGCCTAAATTATTCCAATATTTAAAAAAGGCTCTCTTCTAGATTTCACCAATTACCGACCCATCTCTCTGCTTTCTAATATAGGTAAACTCTTTGAGAAGACAATGCATAATAGGCTATATTCTTTTATTGAAAATTTTAAATGCTTTTACACCCATCAGTATGGATTTCGTGCTAATCACTCCACAACTCATGCTCTCATTGAAATGACTGAACTAATTAGAAAAGCAGTTGATGATAAATGTTTTGCATGTGGTGTATTTGTCGATTTACATAAAGCATATGACACAGTGGATCATTCAATTTTGTTGAAAAAATTAGAATATTATGGGATCAGAGGCATACCACTTAAATGGTTCACTACATATTTAAACAATAGAACACAATTTGTTTCTATTAATGACTCAAAATCTACCCTTGTAAAATGTTCTAATGGTATTCCTCAGGGTTCAGTATTAGGACCCCTGTTTTTTTTTTATATTACTGATCTTCATACATCCATTAAATTTGCTACTGTTTACCACTTTTTTTTTTTTTTTTTTTTTTAACATCTTCACTTCCAACAAGGCTGCAAGCAACCACTATAAGAGTTGGAAGTTACTGGAAGAGAAAAGACTAAATCTGTAGAGCAAGATAACGATTGACTGATGACTTAAAAGATTGCAAAATATATGAATCAGGAAAGCAAGATGAAGGAAGCGAATTCCAAAGAACTGATGTTCGAGGAAAAAAACTAGAAGAATAAGAGTTTTTGAAGCACTTAGGAACAGTCACAGAAAAAGGATGAGACTTAATTGAATGGCGAGTAACACGAGAATGAATTTTAGTAGATGGCACAAGGGACGCTAGCTCTTTAGAGCAGTGCCCATTATAGTATTTGTAGAAAAGAGAAAGAGAAGCAACATTACGACGATGTGACAAAGGTTGGAGATTGGCTGCCAGAGCAGGTCCAACTATGTTTACAATTCGTTTTTGCACCTTGTCTAAAAGAGAAAGAGCATCATTAGAAGATCCGCCCCAGATGTGGCAACAGTATTCCATACAGGGACGGATTTGAGATTTATAGAGATAGAGAATAGAATCTGGAGTAAGAAAGTGTCGAGCTCGATAAAGAGATGCAACCTTAGCAGTTGCTAATTTTGCAATGGATTTGATATACGGTTTAAAAGAAAGATCAGAAGTAAGAGTTAATCCTAGAAGATGAATGGTAGATGACTCATCTAGTACATTACCATTCATAAATATAGGAAGATCTAAATTATTACGATAACGATTGGCCAAATAAAATTGAGTTTTATCTGAATTAAAGTTCACCAGCCACTGTGAGCCCCATGCTGTAGCAGAAGTGAGATCCTTTTCAAGCTCAGATACCCCCTCCAAGCAATCAGAGAGTGTAGGCTTCTTATCATGACAAGAGTAAATGGTAGTGTCGT